TGAGCTGAATTATACAGTGTCTTATTTTCTCTGTTGGACATCACTTGTGGTTTCATAGGATTGTTCTGAAGGCTGGAGCTGTCCTGTAACCTCCCTGTCTGGTGTCATCTGTGTGTGTAATGAGACTCATCCCATTTCCATCACCACTGCTCAAAATACAACTGGAAGGAGCAGAGTGGCCACAGTTTAAATGGCTTTAAACTGAAGGGGAGCAGGTTTAGATTAGTAAATAGTCAGAGTAATTGTCCCTCAGTCAGCCAAGAGGGCCATGGATGGCTCTCAGGTTGCTTCAGGCATCATAGGAGGAAAATCATAGAATCCCAGATGTGGGAAAGAACCTCAGGAGTTCCTCTTGTCCAACCCCACTCCTCAGAGCAGGGGCACCTGGAGCAGATTACTCAGGCCCGTGTTCAGTCAGGATTTGAATAAAGATGGGGACTCCAGAACGTCTCTGTGCAGCCTGTGCTGACGTTTGACCACCCTCACTGTCAAAAAAAAACCCCAAAAAAACCACAAAACAAACATGAAAGCCACTCCAAATCCCCGCAAAAATCACCTTTTTTTTTTTTTTTTTTTTTGGTAGTTTTTACAGTGGAATTTCTCGTCTTTCAATCCATTGACTCTTGTCTTGTCACTGAGCACCACCAAGAAGAGTCTGACTCCATCATATTTGCTGCTTTCCATCAGATATTTAGACACCTTAATACCACTGACACACACACACACACACACACACACACACATCCTTCTCTTCTCCAGACTGAACAGTCCCAGCTCCCTCAACCTCTCTTCATAAACCAGATGCTCCCATCCTTCAATCATCTTCATGGCCCTTCGCTGGATTTGCTCTAATATGTCCATGTCTGTCCTCCTTTTCCAGTTCTTTCCAGTGTGCTCATGTCTTTCTCAGTCCAACTCAACTTTAAAAACATCTGACTTGTCTGAAGGGCTGTTGTGGTTTAACTCCAGCTGGGAACTTAAGCAGCACAAATCCATTTTCTCACCTCCCCCATCAGGATGGTGGAAAAGAATTGGAAGGGTAAAAGTGAGAAAGCTCATGTGTTGAGACAGGAACAGTTTAATAATTTAAATAATAATAATAATAAAAATAATAATAATTTCTTCCATGCTGAAACTCACCTTTCATTCCTATCACTACTAGTTCTGCCCACCTGAGTGGCTCTAAATGGAGACTGGTGGGTGTAGGAGAACTCTTAAATAGTTTTTCCTGCTTGGTTTTACTTACCAGTTTCCTTCCCAGTCCAAGAAACATGGACCAACCCTTTCCTTGAAATGCTACATCATATTATAATTATGGCATGATTGACTTCCACAGAATATAGAAAGCAAGAAGTAGTTGCATGTTGTTAAAATACAAATTCATGCCTCTGGTAGGATGGATGCCCTTTTAGTCTGGCTTGGATGTGGTTGTTCCTTCATTTGTATTTTAGGTGATGAGGATAAAACTGTGATAACATCTTTTTTTCTTCCTTTTTTCTCCTTTCTTTTTTCTTTTTCTTTATTTTTTTCCCTGTTTTCAGTATGTTAGGAAATGCTTGTTCCAATTTGTATGAACTGCCTTCACAGTAAATTGGACAAGTGTCCCTGAGGAGCAGTAGACAAAAGCCCTGGGAAGTGCCATGGGGATGGGGAGGGAAATGCTTTTATTGCCAATCAAATTAAAGGCATTTAGATCTGCTCTTAAATTTCCCTGTAAATATATTACTGTGGGGTAAGAATGTGACTCCAGAGCTGTGTGAATAAGGGATATTTCAATGGTTTAGTAGGATGGGGTGGGAGGCGGCTGTTGCTAAAAAGGTTGGTTAAGCTGAAACAAAATATTTCATTTTCAATTCTATTTTTCCTCCATTACAAGGAGAAAAAGCTTTAAAATGGAAACACGCTCTGAAAAGGATAAATCAACACGAAACATTTGGAGTGTTCCAAAAGCCCCCCCTCTCCCTCCGCTCCCCTTTCCACTCTGTTGGAGAAAAAAATAGACACATTCACTGTTTGCCAAAGCAACTCTTGCCCAGTTGTAATCAAGTCATTTTACAACATGGTGTAGACTTTCACTCCGTGTTCGTTGTTGTGTCCTGGGGAAGTCGTGGCAGCAAATGCTTCCACTTGCTTATCTGTGAAGAGAAAGGGTGGGTGAGGATCAGCCTCTGTAGAGAGGCTGTTTCCAGGCTGTTTGGTTGCCCCGCATCCCTGCTTACAGTGGATTTGATCTGTAGCCACGATGGGAGGTAAAAATAAAAAGATAATTCCTTTTCCCTGCCCAAAAACTTTCTTTTGACTGTGTTCCATGTGCCCATATTCTCCCAGATAAGAGTTTTGCTGGGTCTTGGGTTGGGTTTTGTGGTGACAACCTGGGAGAGGTGAGGTTTGTTCCCAGTCCGCTGCAGTCACCACTCCCCAAGTGAATCTTCCACAGTTTCTTGTGGTGTTTCGTGGTAACCATGAAGAATTTGCATCGTGACATCATAGAATCATGGAATGGTTTGAGTTTGGGGGGGATCTTAAAGACCCTCTAGTTCCACCTCCTTGCCCTGGGTAGGGACACCTTCTGCCATCCCAGGTTGCTCCAAGCCCTGTCCAACCTGGCCTTGGACACTTCCAGGGATGGGGCAGCCACAATTTGTCTGGGATAACTGTACCAGTGACTCACCACCCAGTGAATACAGAATTTCTTCCAAACAGCTGATCTGAGCCTCCCCTCTGTCAGTTTAAAGCCACTACCCTTTGTCCTGTCACTCTATGACCTTCTGAAAAGTTCCTCTCCACGTCTCTTGCAGACCCTCTGTAGGTACTGCAAGTTGCTCTAAGGTCTCCCAGGAGAGAGAATAATTGCAGAGTGTATTTCCACAGAGCTTAAAGTTTTACAGTTTCACGGAGTTGACACGACAATTGTTGTGTTGCTGAGTGTCCTGCAAACCCTTGGTTTACAAGTTTGCTGTTTGGTTCCTCTTATTCTCCCCTTTTTCTGTCTCCTGAATGCACACACACAAGTACACTCCTCTTCCTCTTCCTCCTCTTCCTCTTCCTCCTTCTCCTCCTCCTCCTCTTCCTCCTCCTCTCTCTGGCTGCTTGGGCTCTCACAGGTTTGGTTTCCATAAGTTTGGACTGCAGGCTGCTTCCCTGAAATGAGGGATTTATGGCCTGGGGGCACCTGCAGCCTCAGGTGCCAATTATGTGAGTACCTGGTACTCTGAGGCCGGGAGGGGAAGCTGCACTCTGGATTTTCTCCACTTTTTATGGCTCTGGCTCCCAACCCTTGCTGTCTCAAGGCAGTTGCACTTTCATCCTCTTTCATGTGTCTGGCCCAATTAAGGCAGGATGGAGAGTGATTCCTTTTGGTCCAAGAGTTTCCCTGTCTGGTGAATCTCAGCAGTGATTTTTTTTGCTTGGTTTTGAAACTCTGGAAGAAAAAAGGATAAGGGAGTACAACAGGTGCCTGAGGCCCCTGGACTGTTCCCAGCACAGGGCAGAACTGGGAATTTCTGGTGCTCTGCTTTCCCTGGGGGACAAACCAAAGGAATGCTTGCAAGTACATGGCTCTGCCAGTGCATCCCAAAAGAGGCTTTAGCCTCTTCCTGAGGTATTTATCAGTCCATACCTCAGAGTATCATGCCTGGGAGACCTTATTGTGGCCTTTCAATACTTAAATGGGACTTACAGGAAAAGTGGGAACAGACTTTTCAGCAGGGCCTGTGGTGGGTAATGGTTTTAAGCTAAAAGAGAGTAGACACAGAGTAGATATGATGAGGAATTTTTTTTATGGTGAGGGTGGTGAAACACAGGCACAGGCTGCCCAGGGAGGTGGTAGATTCCACATGCCTGGAAATGTTTAAGTCCAGGTTGGATGGGGCTCTGAGCAGCCTGATCTAGTGGAAGGTGCCCCTGTCCATGGCAGTAGGATTGGATGAGGTGACCTTTAAATATTCCCACCAATCTAAACCAACCACTCTGTGATTCTACCACGGCACTAAAAGTGCTGCAGTGATTGTAGGAGAGGGTGGTTTGTTGGCTGAGTTAGTTTGCTTGTCCTTCAGTCAAAAAAATTACATTTATATGTCAGAGCAAACCCCTGCATGGAGGGCAGGTGGTCTTCCCAGTCATCTCACTCCCATGTCTCCTCTCCATTGGACTCTCCCAGAAGGCCACACTGTCTTTTACCCTTTTTTTGGTGGTATTCACACCTGTTTAGTTTGATTTGATTTGGGTTTTTTTTTCATAGCCTTGATGTAAGAAAGCAGTAGCTGGGTTTATCCTGTAGCACTTTCCATCATCATCTCCATGCCTTAGAGTTGAGCTGTTTTTCCCATCAAAGTCTTGGGACACTGTTGATTTGCTGGAGGCTTTCTGTGGCCATGGTGAAACCCTGTGGATGGGGAGTTGGGAAGGGGGGATGGAGGAGTCTTTCTCTGACAGTGCTGCATTGATTTCATCCTGCTGCTGCTACCTTAGGCCTTGCAGTTTTTTAAATTTAATTTTTTTTTTTTTTTTAACCATCAAGGAAAAATAACTCTGGCTCCAGTATTTTTACTGGAAGCCCAGGAGCTTATGATATAGCAGCAAACTGTCCCTTTTGAGAGCTCATCAAGCCTGCAGTGTGATGGATGGACTCTCAGCCAGCTGTGTACTGGTAATGTTCCAGAAGACAGCATTACCTGTTTTTTGACTGAGTGCTTGCTTAGTCTTTGCCCACCAGCTCAGGATCTCAAAGCACTTTGTGAGCAGCGAGGAATTAAGAGTTGCCCTTTAAGGATGGAGAAAATAAGACACAGGGAGGTCAAATGACTGGTTTGTCCCCAAGATCGTTTGTAGCCCAGAAAACCTGGATTTTAGTGCTTTTAATTTTTTGCAGGTGGACATCCTGGAGTTTGGAGATTGCCCTGTATCTTTTATTTGTCCTTTCAGTCCACTTGTTTTCTTAGACTACTGGGGTTTAACTGACTTTTAACACGGCTGTGTCTGTCTTTTTCTCTGTTTTTTAGGTTTGAAGTGTAATCCCACATCCATCACTATCTAGAAAATGTCTTATGGATCCATTGATGGGAGTGGATTTGGGAGCAGGAACCCATTTGGAGGCCCTTCGAGACAAGGCTATCAACCTCTCGGTAAAGTATCGATCCCTTGCTGGAATTTATTCTCCCTGACTCCCTGAGGACTGAAATTTTCCTTGCTCAGGTTCAGTGTGGCTGGTGTATAAATACCAAACTCTCACCAGGGGTCATTTCTGACGCTGATTTTCAGAGGTGGAAACCAAACTTGTTGAGTTTGATTTGTGTGATGAGGCCCAATGTGTTTCTGTGCTCGGGGTTTGAGACTGCAACTAATGAGGATTCTGGAGGAATTTTGGGGGATTAAAAGGAGAAATGTGGAGTATTCTCTAGGCCTGCTTGTGTCTGTCCTCATCTCCCCATCACCTTTGCAAGAAGTTGGTCTAAATGGTTGATGTGGGGCTGGTTGTGGGTGCAGTGGTGGTGGAGCTAGATGGGGAGATGTACAAAATGCAGTGGGCTGTGCTTCCCCAGACAATCACCTGAGTGCTGTGGAGTGGAGGCTGCTTGAACCTGGGAAAGGTGCTTGGATGTGGCAACAACAGGGGCAAAAACTTCCTCTGGGAATGCTGAAACATCCAAATGGCAGTGGATTCTTTCCTGGTGGCATGTTTTTAAGCAGAGACCAGATGTACTCTCCTTACCTGTCCCCCCACCCCACTTGCCCCAGAGGACTCGAGAAATGCTGAAGCAGAAAGGAAAAAGCACCCAGGTGCCAACCTGCGTATCTGAATTGGTCCCCAAGGCAAACCTGCTCTTCTTGAAAGGAAATTCATTGTGTAACTGCCATAATGTGGAGCACAGCTAATGGTTAGAACCTCCTGATTTTGTGTGTTGAAGGTGTTGACTCTGCCGTGTCCCATTCCTGACACAGGCAGGTTGTAGGACGGATCCTTTGCCAGAACTTGGTTCTGAGGTTGTCCCTGTTGATGTGAGGCTGCAGGTGGAAGGTGGGTCTCATCCTGCCCAATTCTGAGCAGCATGGGAAGGTAAAAAACCCACATCTGCAGCTGCCCAGATGTGCATCAGACCCCAATCCAAGTGGACAGTTGCTGTAGGGCTGGTTTGGGTTAATCTAGTCTGGCTTTCAGCAATTCTTGTTAACTGGGACGCATCCTTCATTTAATTTTGGTCCTGGGCCTGGCTTGCACTGGAGGATGAGGCTGCAGGGTCTACAATGTGGACACAATGTGGAGTTGAGACCTTTGCAGGACCATCAGGAAATGGGAACCTGTAACATCATTTTGCACCAGGGAAAAGAACATCACCCTTCTCTTCACTGGCCTTTGATTTCAGCTGTACCATTCACTGATGCAGCCTGAGTTGGTTTTCATGTTTTGAGGGTTGCAAATGTTCTTTGTTTTGCAAATAGCTGTTCTTCCTGGATGGAAATATGTAGAAAAGCAGAGAAGTTTCTCTCGGTTTTCTGTTTTCTTATGAGTTTGGGTGTAATTATGATTTTTCTCTTTGAACGGGGAGAAGGTATTGAAGTGAGTGAGAGCTGCCTGTTCAGTTGTAAATAGTGATTTCTAGGCTATTCTACAAGGCAGAATTAAAGGCATAAAAGCAAGGAAGAATGGGATACTTGGGCACAATCAAAGAACCATGAGAAAAGAGAATTGAAATGTGGACTAGACAAATGATGAATCTCAGTGCATTGTAGCTTAGGTTAGAAAAAACATGAATATTTATTGTGCTGTGTGAAAAGACCACTGGTTTTAATGCAAATGCGCAGAATAGCTCAAGACACTTGCAATCTCTAAATATTTGAAGAGATACCTCATTGTGCCCAGCTTGCCCATCCCTTGGCAGTTACTGATGTGACACTGAAGTCACCCTCAGTGGTTGCAAAAGGCAGATGGTGTAGAAATATCAGCTTTTTTGGAACAGCCATGGGCTGTTGCCTGCCCAGCTGGAGCCTTTTAACACATTGGCTTATGGCTTGGAATTGAGGGCTGTCTTTCCTCCCCCCATATATACATACATTATCTCAGGTGGCATTCCAATGGACACAGCTCCAAGGTCTTCCAGGGTTGATATTCCCAGCAAGCAAAAATAGGTTGGTCCCTTAGCTGGATGTCCCTGGGAAAAAGATTGCAAGGGGATGGACCTGTTTGCATTGGCCAAAAGGCAACTTGGAGGTGTTTCCTTCCTGTGTGTCTCAATCAGAGGTGGGTTCGTTTGGCCTTGAGAAGAGAAGGTTTAGGGGAGACCTTGTCACCACGGCCCAGTATTTAAAGGGTGGCTGCAAATAAGATGGAGACTCCCTTTGTGCAAGGAGTCACATGGAAAATATGAGGGGTAATGGGTAAAGTTACTCCTGGGGAGATTCAGATGTCAGACACTCAGACAAGAGGAACATTTTTTGCTGTGAGAACAAACAGCCTTTAGAATAATGTCTGGAGTTGTAAAATCCAGCTGGACGGGGTGCTGGGCCATCTTTTCCAGGCCGTGCTTTTGCCAAGAAAGGTTGGATCAGATGATCCTTGATGTCCCTTTCCAACCTGGCATCCCGTGGTTCTGTCCAATGTTCATCTGAACCTCTGTAGCTCCCCACGTCCCTTCACCGCGGGAGACCAACACGTCGAATGCCTTTTGCTGTAACATCCCCAAATATTGTCATTAATTAAGCATCAGGAGAGGGTTATGCAACACTAATCGTCTACCTCCTGCTTCTGGAAGATGGATGACTGGTTTGCTGAGAAAAAACTGCCCACTTATTAGATCATGGAATGGCTGGAACAAAAGAGCGCGGCCTCCCCGCCAGCATCTGTGTGTCTGCTCACAGCGGGGGAAAGCTTGATGAGCACGCTGTGCAAGTGCTCTGAGCCTCTTCTTCTCTCTTTATGTCTAATAAATTAATAAATAAATAAATAAAAACAGGCACCAGACTCTCTGCAGGTACTTCATGTCCAGTGGTGTGGTCCAGTGGTGTACTCGGGTGTCCAGCGGGGTTGAGGTACCACAGCAATAATGGTGATGGGGGTGGCACTGATTGGTCTTTAATATCGTGAAAGAGCAAAGGAAAGGGGGCTTAGCTGTTGTTTGGTTTTGTTTAATAAAGGGTGATACCACTCTGTCCTTGTACCTGTCTGTCCATCTTGGGTCTGTTTCCTCTGTGCTCTGTTCTCCCCAGGCTGGGAAAGGTTAATTACTTGGAGGAGTTTCCCCTTAGCCCTGGACTGACTTGATGATGGACTTAGAGCTCCTCATCAGTTTAACCTCATGTGGGGGTTAAACTTGCTGACCAACCTAATTAGAGAGATCCACCTAATTAGAGAGATCCACAGGCCCCATTCGCAGCAGTTTGCAGGGGAATACCAAGGCATTGTTTTAGGGAATCTTGATGTGCCTGGGATTCCTTGGTGTCAGACAACTCTAGTTCAAACTCTGGTTTTGATGGTGGATATCCAGAATTTCTTGTGGAAAATAAAAACAAGTATACTTTATTATTATTATTATTATTATTATTATTATTATTATTATTATTATTATATTTACTACTACTCCTCCTATTGGAATTGGGAGAAGAGAGAGTTTAACTCACCAGAACTGAAATCTTCTCTAACCTTCACTAAGGAGCACCCTGAGGTGGGTCACAAGAGGGATCACCAGGATTACTCGGAGTATATCAGTTTTGGGGGATGACAGTACCATTCAGCCACTTAAAAAAAAATAATTGTGGAGTGGCAAGTGGAGGCAGAAGCCACATCCCTGCTTTGCAGCTGTGAGCTACAACCTCCTCCAGAAACATCTGGGTTTCATCTCCTCGTTCTGCTTCCCAAAATCCATGGAAAAAACCAAATATTCCCCCACTTCCATGTAGGATCTTCTCTGGGCTTCAGCTGTGCAGTGCTGGAAAAGTAGAGAGTGGAAAGTTGTTCTTGTTTTTCTTTTTGTTTTAATTCTTTTAACTGAGTAATTAAAAAAAAAAAAGTAAACTTCAAAATATTTTTCTCAGTAATATGCCATGTCTAAAGATAAACAGCCACAAAACACCATAGAGCATTAGGAATTAAACCCTGGATTCTTACAATTTTAATATGTGCAACATGCACTGTCTCCCCTCTTCAAGGTATCTTCCCAAAACCATCTTTTTTGTGGGGAAAATTAACAAAACCTGCCTTGCACAAGGAGGCACATAGGTCAGGGGATTTAAATAGCTTGAATTAAAATGCCACAAGCCAGGACATTTTTAACACTGCTTTTATTAACCTTCCTGTAACCTGGGCTTTAAATGCCACGTTTGAAAAGGTGAGGTTAATCTCATATTCCAGCAGTGCCTCGTTTCCAGGTGTGCTCAAGGGACTGGTGGGTCACTGCTTAATTTTGCTGTGACTTCATTTAGAACCATTTTCCCCACAGTTTCTCCTGGAGATATTGTGTGGGACTCTGGCCAGAGTGGTACTCAAGATATATCCCACATGAGTTTTTCTCCTTGCTGGATAAGGTTGGTTATCTTGACAACAGAACAAAATTAGATTGGCCAGTGAAAGCTGTTCTTGGCAGTGTTCTCAGGGCATAGATCACCTAATTATCATCTCAATACTTAGCAATTGTGGAATGAATATTTCTAACTTTTTTTTTTTTTTCCTGGAATTGGGTCTATAATTTTCTTTGCTCTCCCCTCTCTATCACTATATCTTCTGTGAAGCACCAACCAGCTCTTGAGGAAGTCACATGTCAGTGCTAGAAATGCTCTCTCTGTCCTGTCATGGAATCATAGAAACATTTAGGTGGGCAAAGACCTCTGAAATCATAAAACCAACCATTAATCCAGCCCTACCAAGTCCACCACTAAGCCACATCCCTGAGCACCAGATCTATACGGTTTTTAAATCCCTCCAGGGGTGGTGACTCAACCATTTCCCTGAGCAGCCTTTTCCAATGCATGACAAGCCTTTGAGTGAAGATTTTTTTTTTTCCCAAATATCCAATCTAAACCTCCTCCTTAGCAGATGAACTGGGGAGGAATCCACTGCCAACTTCACATCTCCGTGTTGCAAAGTGCAGAAGCACAGAGCAAACTCTGAACCACACAAGGAGTCCCCCTGAGG